TATTTTTATGTTTTCCTTATTGATTTTAGAGAGAGAGGAAGGGAGAGGAAGAGAGAGACAGAAACATCGATGAGAAAGAACATCGATTGGCCGCCTCCTGCATGCCCCCCACTGGGGATTAGGCCCTCAACCTGGGCATGTGCCCTGACCGGGAACCAAAACAGTGACCTCTTGGTGCATGGGTCCACACTCAACCACTGAGCCACACCAGCTGGGCTCTGGCCTTGTTTTTAAAAACTGCTTAAGCATTGTTTTTATAGCTACCATGTACTCTTTATGTGGATATATTATAATTTATACAAACATATCTCTACTACAGGTATTTAGTTTTTATCAAACATATTATAGAATAATAATATGGACTTAAATCTTTCAGAAGAGCTCAATACCAGTAGGAGTAAATGAGAACTCTCCAAAGAAGGTGTAGGCAGCCATAGGAGAAAAGTTTAGGAAGCATTTTAGTCATTGTTTTCCTTTAGCCAAGAAAAACAGGTACAATATTACTAAGTTATGGACAAAAGCAGGAAATACTCTGAAATTTCCTCAAGAATAATGTATTTCTTAAGTCTCTGTTGACTTGATGGTAGGACTAGTTCTAGGAAGGCTTTGTGGGAAGAGACAAGTGTTATGTAAGGAGAACAAATATATTCGAAGTGGTATAGAAAATTCAGGTCATTAATGTGACACCTTGCACCCCTTTGTTGGTGACTAGGCTCTGTCTGATAAGCTTGCCACAAGTCCTTAAATCTGGGAGGAGCACTTTATTTTTTTTGTTTGTTTGTTTATCCTCACCCGAGGACATTTTTCCATTTTTTGTTCGGATAGAATGGGAGGGAAAGAGAGGAAGAGAGAGAGAGAGAGAAACATTGACGTGAAAAGGACACATCGAATGGCTGCCTCTCACACGACCCAACCAGGGCTGGGGACAAACTGCAACCAAGGTACATGCCCTTAGCAGGAACCAAACCCGGGTCTCTCTGGACCACAGGTCGACGCTCTAACCGCTGAGCCAAATCGGCCAGGGCAAGGAGCACTTTCTTTCTTTTTTTTTTTTTTCTTATTAATTAATTAATTTATTTTTGTTACAGATGTTTCTCCTCCCCCCCCTTATTTTGCCCTCCCCCTCCCTCCCTGCCCTGTCCCCAGCTTTGTTGTCCATGTCCATTGTTCATGCATACAAGCATATAAGTTCTGTGGTTTATCTCTCCCCCACCACCCCCTCTTCTGGGGATTGTCAGTCTGTACCCCACTTCCACGTCTCTGGGACTACCCCATTCCTCAGACTGTTATGTTCATTATATTCCACAAATAAGTGAGATCATATGATACTTGTCTTTCTCTGTTTGGCTTGTTTTGCTTAGGAAGATACTTTCCAGGTCCCTCCATGTCGTCTCAAAGGATAAGAGATCTTTCTTTCTTACCGCTGCATAGTACTCCATTGTGTATATGTACCACCGCTTTTTTATCCATTCGTCTACTGATGGACACTTGGGCTGTTTCCAGATCTTAGCTATTGTAAATAGTGCTGCTATGAACATGGGGGTACATATATTCTTCCTGATTGGTGTTTCAGGCTTCTTAGGGTATATTCCTAGAAGCGGGATCACTGGGTCAAATGGAAGTTCAATTTTTAATTTTTTGAGGTAACACCATAGTGTTTTCCATAGTGGCTGCACCAGTCTGCATTCCTGCCAGCAGTGTACTAGAGTCCCCTTTTCTCCACACCCTCGGTCAACACTTGTTTGAAGGGAGCACTTTCTTAAACAAAGAACTTTAACAACCAGTTGTTAACAGTAATTTCCTATCTACTGAGTGTCATTTCAGCAACTGAGCCATCTTTTCCATTGCTCTTTAGACTTGACCAGCGCCAGAGTAGGTGGCCAGAGTTCTTGCACAGAACCCAGAGGGCTGGAATCCTCACAGTGGGAATGTTTTTAAAGTGATAGTTTAGAGTCCTACTAAAACTCAATTTGCCTGGACTTCTGTGGCTATCTGGGGAAAACACAAGGCTATGGATCTATATACTTTCCTTTGATTCTCACTCAAGTGAATTTTTTTCTTAGAAAGTTACCTTAGAATTTTGAATCTGCTCTATATGCTTTGCGGAAAGTGTTTTCCAATTATTTATGATCAGAGTTTGTCTTCACAACACCGTGAGAGATGAGTAGGGTAGCTATTATATTTGTTTTGGAGACAAAACAAACAGATGGAGGGTTCAGGTGCTGCCCCCAGCACCCAGACGTCTGGTCTTTGGGCCTGGTGTGCCTTCCCCTGCAGACTGTCACAGTGGCTGTCCTTCTGCGGTCGGACATCTCCAAGCTGTCTCACACTTGTTTCACACCTGACATATAAACCCAGAGTGTTTTCTTGAAGCACACATAGATGTATTCTGTCTTAAAGCATCTCCAAGTTTCTTCAAATAAGGATTTTAAAAATGGATTGTCTAATTGACCCACTTAGAAGTAGAAACCAAAGATAATTTTAGCATCCATTTTTTCCAAACAGTTAAAAGGAATAAAGATGAATGTTTACATACAGTAATGTATTAGAAAAACTATAGTTGCGATTTAAATGACAAACAAAACTAAGAAATGCAAGAGTGTTTCTTAAATCCAGAAAAATCTACACTCATGTGTGGTTTAAATTAAATAAGGGAATAATAGGGTGTCCGTCACCAAAGAATGTATACAGGGTGGCTGTAGATTTTATTACATTTTGAAAATGAAATGTATTTTAATAAACACTGGCTTTATAATTAGTTCAATTTGTGTATACATTTTTAGGACACCCTATATTTGTGTTAATGTTATCAAACTGTCAAATGAAACAAAAATACTTTTTTTAAGGACTAGATATGTAAGGGATCAGCCTGAAAAAGTCATCAATAGAAAATCTATCAGTATATGGACACTGGCCTTTTTAAATAATGTGACTTCTCTATAAAACTGGAATGTATAAAACTCTTGGAGAACACACAACTGAAATATACAATCTTCTATATATCATACTTGAATGTATTATTGATTCTTCTTTAAAATGAAAGTAAATGTGATATTGAAAGCTACTTTCATTATGGATGTACGTGCGTGTGTGTGTGTGCAAACGGGTATGCACATATGCACATGTGCTATTGTCATTGAAGAACAGTTTCCAAGAACCCTCATTTGGCACTTGACCACACCAAATTTAACTTTATACTGTTATACAGCCTTGAATTGTTTCCTGAAAAGACTGTAAGTATCTTGAAGTTAAGAACTCTGTCTTTGCCTGGTTGGTGTGGCTCTTTTGACTGGGTGTCAACCCATGCAGCAGGAGGTCACCGGTTCCATTCCTGGTCAGAGCATATGCCCGGGTTTCAGGTTCCATCCCCAGCTGATCAATTCATTGATACTTCTCTCTCTTCCTCCCTCCCTGCCTCTCTCTGAAATCAATAAAAAACATATTTTAAAAAAAGAACTGTGTCGTCTATGTTTTTGTATCCTCCACAGTGCCTGCCACAATGTTTATATTGAACTTAAAGAAATTAATTCATCCAATGTTCCGAGAAAACTAGTTCTACTAACCATCCAATCTTTGAAACAAATTGTTCTCATTCTCTAAACTATAAAACCAATGTTCCTATTATTTTGTGGCACATCTTGACCCTACAATAACCTGCCTTTGTATGATATCGTTGCGAATATTATCATTATTGTGGAAAATAATTGGTGTTTTTTTTGTGCTCGCTCCCTGAAGATTTTTAAAACCTCAGATATAATTTTATAAATGCAGTGAATAAGGGTCAATAATAGAAAGTAGGGAGTCCTCTACCATCTCTGAATCCCTTGTAGATTGATTATAAGGGTATGGAGAGATCCCTCTGGAAGGAGAGTTGGAGTCACCTCAGGCCCATTAACTCATACTGGAATACATAATTGTTACTAGAAAACTTCTTGTCTTACCCAAGTCCAAACTCAATTCCTTTTCCAAAAATAGGTATTTATTACAACTGCCTTTGTTTTATTCCTTCTATTCTTCTTTCCCAGTTCCAGACTTACAGGCTTGTGACCTGCTCCATGACTACAGTATATAATTCTTGAACCTTGCACCTGAATGGTTGACAGTGTCACCTGATTCCAACTTTGAACCTAATTTTCTAAAAACAGATCAGACTCCTTTGGGCCTTGTCTGGAATTTACAGGTCAATCCATTTCAGATAGTAGTTCTTAATCCTTTAGAAGGGTTCCTTGAAAATGGATAAAAGCCATTAATTCATCCCCTCAGGAACTGTATATATTCACACAAACACAAAATCTGCATATAATTTCAAGAGGCTCATAATTCCTTAGAGACCCCTTTTGAGAGTCTTCTACTAGTAGTAACCTATAGTGTAATTTTTTTTAAAAAACTACACGGTGTACATCTATATGTCTCTAGGGTCAATTTTTATACCTACCAATGAATAACTTCCTTTCAACTTTAGAAGGGAGAAAGAGGCAAACTCAGCTAGCCAGAACTAAATTAATAAAATTCTATGATTTTTTTCCTAATCCTGACCAAATAAGACTCTGAACATTCAGAAAAGTCCAAAGACCCACTCTGTGTTAGTCACTACAGACAGGCGTAGTAATAAAGCCTTAGTGGGGTTTGAGAAAAGCTAGTGCATGTCTTTATCACTTCCAAGATTTTCCTTCTAAAAAAAAATCACCAAAATCGGAGTGGTGAACACACAGTATACAGATGATGTTTTATAGAATTGTATACCTGAAACCTATATAATTTTATTAACCAATGTCACCCCAATAAATTCAATTTAAACATAAATTTTAAAATCATCAAAATAATAAGTGTACATTGTAGAAACATTGAAAAGTATAGAAAAGCATACATAAAAATTTTATTTTTATTTATTTTTTAATTTTTTTATTGATTGATTGGGAGGAAGAAAGAAAGAGAGAGAAATATGGATTTGTTATTTCATTTACTTATGCATTTATTGGTAACTTCTTGTATATGCCCTGCCCAGGGATCGAACCTGCAACCTTGCTGTGTCAGGAGATGCTTTAACCAAGTGAGCTACCTGGCCAGGGCTACATAAAACATTTTAAATCACCCACATTTCTAGCACTAAAGATACTCAATTGTCAATACTTTAGTGAAAATTTCTAGTCTTTTTTCATTCATAATTGTTCGATTTCTAGAAGCTCTTTCCTTTAAGTATGACTGTACTTTTATAAAAAACAAAAACAAAACAAAAAACCTGTTGTGCATTCAAAGACTTAATTCTATCTTTCAGGGTAAGAGAAACTTCCAGATCGCCTAGGACTTTGGCCCAGGCCTACACACTTTTGAGCTCTGGCTGCGAATTCACCTGCCAGCCTCTACATCTATTTGTGGCCTGGACCCCAGCGGAAGGGAAGACATCCATCGGAGACTGCTATCATGTCTTCCAGTTGTTAGCTCTGCCACCGGTGCTTGTCTCTGTGATGATCATTGGACTTCTGGATCCTGACCACCTGAGTTCCACTCCTGGCTCCACTGCCACCTTCTAGGTTTGTGAACTGAACGAGATACTCAACTCCTCCGTGCTTCGGTGTTCTCTTTTGTAAAGTGGAAATGGTGATGAAGAATAAGTGGGTGCATATCTGTAAAGTACGGAGAACACAGTGTCACCTGGGAAACACTCAGTAAAGGCTAGCTATCATTCTTATTCTTTATATTTTGTTATCATTCCCGTGATGTTTTCTGCTTTGTTAGTTTTGTTGTCACTGCTGGTCCTTGTCAGACACCTAGTCCATTGTCCCCTACTAAATTCACCCGACACTTAAAGATTCTGCCTCAGATTTTCTTCAAGTGCATTTCTTCATTCAGTTGATATTTTTTTGACAATGGCTATGTGCAGGCCTTACACTTGTCCCTGGAAACAACAGAGACCCTGACCTCAAATATTTGGAGTCCCTTGGGAGCAACACCAACAAGAAATACAATGAAAGAGCAGTGGCAATACCAAGTGGTAAGTGCGACCGTGGAGAAAGTACAGGGTACCTAAATGGGGGGCCTTGATCAGACTGCAGAGGGGTAAGTAGCGCCTCCCAGAGGAAGCGTCTCTAAACTGAGTCTTGACTCAGGACTTAGCCAAAGAGGTTAAGAGCCAGAGAAAGAGGTTGTTTGTAAATTATGAATTTTAGCTGTGGATTTAACTATGATCTCTAAGATGCCCTACAGTTCCTAAGTTGTGGGACTGATTTGTGAAATCTACCTGACCCACCCTACCATGTCCATCCTTGGCCTAAAACCCTGCCAGATGTGATCTAGCTGGAGGCAGCAGAACAGGTAGTCCAAGAGGATCCACAAACTGCCACTAATGCTCACTAAAGCAGCCACACTGCTTTTTTTTTTTTTTTATACAATTGATGTTTTCTCAATATTATGTCAAATGCTATAAAAACTCTGCTTCGAAAAGTCCCCTCTCCCAAACAGATCATCAGCCCTGAATCCCACCTAAAGAGAAATTCTGAAGTCCTTTCTGTAGGTACCTGCTGTAGCCTGAATGTTTGTGTCCCCCCAAAATTCACATTAAATCCTAACCCCCAATGTGATGGTATTAGGAGCTGGGCCTTCACAAAGTGATTAGGTCATGAGGCCTCTACCATCATGAATGGGATTAGTGCTGTTATAAGAGATTAGGGTGAGCTCCCTTACCCTCTGCCAAATGAGGACACAGAGGACCAGGAAGTATCTATGAAGCAAGTTCTCACCAGATAACAAATCTGCTGGCACCTTGACCTTGGATTTTCCAATCTCCAGAACTGTGAGAAATAAATGTCTATTGTTTATAAGCCAACAATTTAAGGTGTTCTGTTGTAGCAGCCTGAACAGACTAAGAAGGCACATTCTTATCATTGGTCCTTGGGAGGCACCATTCATTTATGTCTGTCCCTTGGAACTCATAACCTATTCAAAATTTCCCCCACCCCCAATAGAAGCCACTCTTCTGAGTAAAAAATGCGTGTTTGTTATTATATATTATTGCAAACTATGTATTGCTTTATGTAAATGTATTTTGAACTCATGCAATTGATGATTACATATCTTATTCTCCATCTTGAGTTTCACAAAAGAATTCTGTCTTTAATATCTATCCATGTTGCTTTTTGTTTTTAATCCATGTTACTTTGTGTGCTTCTAAGTGGTTGCTTCTAATGTTGTCTAAACCTCAGCAGTGAGCACCTACCTCTCTAACCTCTGTATAAAGGCCCTTTTAACTTCTGAACATAGAAGAAAAAATCCTCCTAACCTACATCTGAAAAAAACAAAAGGTTGATGCAAGTTCTTTTTCTAATTCTAACAAGTGGTGCTTTGAGTAATGTTTTACTGCCATTACAAAGAAGATGGGATTCTTGTAATATTTTAATGGGAACTTAAGCACTTGGGAACAATTAAGTAATACTCCATCTTTATTTGACTATGTATTTCTTTTTTTCCCTTCTATTGGTGAATCCTTTACTGAGGAAAGGAAAAGCCAATTTAATTAACTAGGAAACAGAATTTATGGGAAATAATTAAACTTGTTTTACTCGTTGGGTGATGAAAATAAGAAATGTAACTATCATTTGCATAAGTTAAAAATACATTCACATAAAACAATATATAGTTTGCAATAACATATGAGAAAAAATGTATACGTTTACCTGAAGAAATACAATCAACTCAATCCTTAGCACCTGAAGTCCACAAACCGAAAACAAAAAAGAAGCAAAAATCAAGGAGATTTAAAAATTAGTATAAATAGTGAGAGAAAGAGAGGGAGGGAGGAAGGCTGTATTTGCATTTGCTCTAGAGGAAGAATATGATACATGATATACTATATTTACTATGTCAGGAGAAGAAATCAGCACCAAGTATCTATGGACTGTCTCACAGCCTAAAACTCAGTGGGAACACAGAAGTGTCACTGGATCACCCAGCTCTCTGCCCTCCTGGGGCTAGTTACAAGAATGACACTTTAACCAGACAAGGGTGAATGCTAATAAACATATCAATCACCATTACATTTTCACGTAGAAATGACTGTTAAGAAATGTAATAATATTGGTTAAAACTTTAGGAATCGGTTAGTGATTTTCATATTTATGTTTTATTTTTATATTTTATAAAAACATTGTATAATTCACAAACTGCATTTTTAGAAAAACATGGAACGCTTCACGAGCGTGCGTGTCATCCTTGCGCAGGGACCGTGCTAATCTTCTCTGTATCGGTCCAATGTCAGTGTGTGTGCTGCCGAAGCGAGCACAAACTGCATTTTTTATTATTCCAACCTTTCTAGACTCTAATGCTTGTATCATGACTGTGTACAACTCATAGTCTAACAGTGAGAAGATTCATTCCCATGCCCCCATAAAATGTGGAACATTTCTCTTCTTTTTTTCTCCAATTTTCCTAATTGCTTACAACTTCAATAACAATCAACTCATAGCTATCTCGTTTCCTCCACACTCCCACGCATCTTGCCTGCTCCGACGATCCAGATTATTTTGAAGGAAATCTCAGGCATCATATCACTTCAGCTCTTAATATTTCAGTAAATATCTCTAAGAGGTAAGCAATCCCCTTTACAGACATCATCTCAACCCCAAAAAGAAGTAACAAGAGTTGCTTAATATAAAATATTCAGTCAGTGTTCACATTCTCTAATTGTCTTATAAATATCCTTTTTATTTGTTTGAATCTAGATCAAAACAAGGTCTAGACATTGTAATTGATTAACATATCTTATGGACAAACATTTTTTTTCCCCCTAGTCTTTATTCTCAAACCAAACTGCAGAATATGTAGCAAAAGCAACCCTCTCCGGATGAAACAGGAGCGTAAATTGCTGTCCTGAAGAAGCTGGTGAAATGTCAAGTCATTGCCTTTGCCAAAGAGATAACCACTTAACACACACCTTTCCCCGAATGATAAAGAAGGGAAGGAAGAACTGTGCTCCCTGGTAAACAGTTTTATTAGCCCCAGAGAATTGCATACAAAATGCTCTGCAGTAAACAGAAATTGAGGAAATAGAAAATGAGTTGTAAATCTGAAAATTATTCATTAAGATGAAAGAGAAGTTTAAAAATGGCCAAATCAGTCTGCTTTTAAATATTTTTGTTGTTGTTAATCCTCACCAAAGGATATTTTTTCCATTGATTTTAGAGAGAGTGGAAGGGAGGAAGGGGAAGAGAAAGAGAGAGAAAGAGAAACATTGATGTGAGAGAGACATGACTGGTTACCTCCTGAATGTGCCTGACCAGGGCCAGGGATCTAACCTGCAACCCAGGTAGGTACATGCCCTGGACCAGGAATGGAACCCAACGCTCTAACCTCTGAGCCACACTGGCCAGGGTCAAACAGTCTGCTTTGAAAGTTTTGCAAATGCTGGTTGAACTGATGAATCCTGTTTCGGACTTTTAATCATATAGCTTTAATTTAATTTAAGGCTTTTAAATTTTTTCAAACATTGCTTACTCCATTCTAGTCTGTGCCTTTGGTATAAGAAAAAAAATCACTTTAGCTGATAGAAATTTAATTAAGACTCTCACCGTAAGGAATGTCTCTTAAGGATTGCACCTTAAACAAAACCCCCCTTTTCACTTCTGAAACCCTGGTGTTAAGAGTACAACACAAGCCCTGGCCAGTTTGGCTCAGCGGTTAGAGCGTCGGCCTGCGGTCTGGAGAGACCCGGGTTCGGTTCCCGCTAAGGGCATGTACTTCGGTTGCAGTTTGTCCCCGGCCCTGGTTGGTCGTGCGGGTGGCAGCCACTCGATGTGTCCCTTCACGTCGATGTTTCTCTCTCTCTCTCCCTTCCTCTCTCTCCCTCCCACTCTATCTGTACAAAAAATGGAAAAATATCCTCAGGTGAGGATAAAAAAAAAAAGAGTACGACACAATACAAACAATAATACATACGCATACACAATAAAATTGCCATGTAACAGAAGCAGCAGGAGGGGCTCGCAGTAACACAGTGCAGGGGTTAAGAATGTGGGCTGCAAAAAGAGAACGCTGTCCAGTTTCTTTGCCTGTAAAATGGGAACAATGAACAGTAGCTGCCTCATAGGACTGCTGTTGGATCATTCAAATGAGATCGTGAAAAAATATTTAAAAGCACCCAGCACTTGCTAATTCAGCAATGACTAGCTGTTATTATCATTAGAAAGACATAAAAAGATCCCTGGCTGGTTTGGCTCAGCAGTTAAAAGCATTAGGATGAAGGGTCAAGGTCAAAGGGTAGAAGGGTTGCAGGTTGAGGTCATGCAGGAAGAAACCTATCGATGACTCTGTCTCTGTCTCTGTCTCTGTCTCTCTCTCTCTCTCCCTCCCTTCCTTCCACTCTATCTAAAAATCAATGGGAAAATATCCTCAGGTGAGAATTAACAAAAAGAAAGAGACAGAGAAAGAGGAAAGGAAGGAAGGAAGGAAGAAATCATTTGTCATCATCAGTTTTACCATGAGAAGGAACTTACTTTATGGTAACATTATGAGTCAGTTACAAAAGAAGGCAGAAAGCACCCTGTATGTATGCCTGTTACAGCGACTCCCAGATACTCTATGTTGTTAAAAGGAACTTGGGAAAAGAAGTATCCTGAATGGGCACTGTTAAACTGTTTCCCTTGCTGAGGTTCCAAATATTTGAAAATAGTACAAGAAATGACTCTGTATATATTAAGTTCTAGATAAAACAACAGAGATTGATTGACCTGAAATTGGACTCTGATCCCAAGGGAATCGTCTGATGTAACCTAGTCCTTACCAGCCCTGGAGAGAAAAAACAAGCTTGAGTCTATGTCAGTCTCAACTGTGATCTGGTTGGATATGATCTAAGCTTTGGAAAGTGCCTAAGCACATTTTTTATCCATAATGTGTGTTTGACAATACTAAGCAGGGAACTGACACAGGAAAATGAAGACCTAGCATTTATAATTCGGCCTTTCTCTATTTTCTCATTTTGGTCACACAAGTTTCCTTTTCTGTTGGGTCCCTCTCAAATAATTGCAAAAATCTAATAAATTAATCAACAAAAAAGTGGAAGGGGGTAGTGGTTATTCATAGTATCAAAACATTCTGCAGTTTAAATCATTTGTTTCAGAATTCCTTTTAAATTAAGACCTCCTTCCTCACCATGTGAAAATGCATTGCCCTGCTCAAGCACCTGGTCTTCTCCATTATTCCTCTCGCTACTCCTTGAGGAAAGGGAGGAGGAGGAGAGGTCTCCAATGAAAATGTCCTTGTTGATAACATCTTATGTTCCTTTAAATGTTTAATCTTTTTAAAGCACTTTCACACCCACTGTGTTCTTTCTTATACCAGATGGTATAAATCATACACCATTTGAGAGGTGAGAAAAGCTACTTATAGAAATTGGTACATGTGGGACCTGAACTCAGGATCTTTTCAAGACATCCAATGGAACATGAAGCAAGTGGCCCCGTGCTCATGCTCACTGATGCTGCTGCTCTTCCTCCCCTCATGGAGTTGGCTCCAGGCATCTTCCTCTTTCCTTCTCAATTAATCCTGATTCGTGCCTCACCTCCTGTAATTACTAAATGGGAAAGACTTGAGTGAACCAACAGTCAACCAACTAATATTTATTGAATGTTAACTAGAAGCCAGAACTTTGAAGAGCTTTAAGGAGAAACTTAATCTTCTCTGTCACTTAAAAAGACTATGGTGAGTCGTGGCCGGTTTGGCTCAGTAGTTAGAGCATTGGCCCATGGACCAGAGAGTCCCGGGTTCGGTTCCCACTAGGGGCATATACATCCGTTGCAGTTTGTCCCTTGGGTGGCAACCACTTGATGTGTCTTTCTCACGTAGATGTTTCTCTCTCTCTCTCTCTCTCTCTCTCTCTCTCTCTCTCTCCTCCCTCTCTCCCTCCTGCTCTGTCTGAAGATAAATGCAAAAATGTCCTCAGGTGAGGATTAAAAAAAAAAGATTATGGTGAGCCCTGGCCAATTTGGCTCAGTGGTTGGAGCATCAGCCTGTGGACCGAAGAGTTTGATTCCGGGCAAGAGCACATACCTAGGTTGCAGTTCGGTCCCCAGTCCTTGTCAGGGTTGTGCGGGAGGCAACAAATTAATTGTCTCTCTCACATTGAAGTTTCCCTCTCTCTCCCCTCCCACTCTGTCTGAAAATAAATGGAAAAATATCTTTGGGTGAGGATTTAAAAAAAAAGGATTATGGAGATTAATTACTTTATCAGTTGGAACCAATTATCTAAAAAGAATCATTTGCACATTAGCCGTGCCAGAGTCCCTAGCTAGACGTGTTCTGACCCTGTTTGTAAATCTGAAAATAAATTTCAGTGGCTTCTGTAAGAAAGCTAAGGCTTGCCCTGGCCAGTTTGGCTCAGGCGTTGGTGTGTCGGCCTGTGGACCAGAGAGTCCCGGGTTCGGTTTCCGCTCGGGGCACGTACCAAAAGAAAGAAAATAAGCAAGCTAAGGCTTAGAAAATGTCTGCACAGACTTAATAAGATTTCGAACAGTGCTCTGTTTGTAAAACTTCATTTCTTAAATCACTTATTCAATATTAACTCATTTTACAAAGGGGTAAGAAACTGAGTTAGTGCTGCAGTCCTGAACTTAAAGGAGGTCGGAGCCTAGAACAGAAAGACAGACCAATACACTGCTCCAAGATCTCTAAGAGCCTCTAGGTTCTGAATGGTCAGGCCTCACACCCAGAAGTGGACCCTAGCTCTCCCCATCCTGTCTGCTGACTTTTTCTTTCATTTCTACAAACTCCCCTCACTCTCCTCCACTGGACTTTGCATAAGTCCCAGTTCGCTCAGCCCTGAAAGTTCCCCAGGCTCTCTTTGGTCTACTTAGTTCCTCCTCCTCCAGCCCTCAGCTACAGCCAGGCTGCCTCAGGAAGCCTTTCCTGACATGCAGATCTGGTCACATGACTCTCTACCACCTTCAACCTGATCACATTTGTAGTTTTACATGTACTTGTATGATTGTTTAATATATCATATCTGCTCTCAGGTGCCTAAGATCCTGGAAGGGTGGAAGCTGGTTTTAGATGTCAGTGTCTGGCACACAGTAGGCCCTCCAGGAATGAAAAACGAACATTCAGAGGTGCCTGGCTGCCTGGACCTAAGCAGCCTGGGCCTCTGAGAAACGGCAGGATGAAGTGGATTAGCTTCGTTAACACCAGGCCTCTTGGCTCCTATCTCAGCCCCTGTGTGACACTCTGAAATATAAAGGTTGTTTGTCTCAAGTCCCTGGGAGACTGGAAGCTCTCAAATAGCAGACATCCCACTATATTTAGTGTTGTGGCCCCAGTATGTAGCTGTGCTTGTTACTTAGCATAATACACACAAGAAAACCACTTAGTAAACATTAGCCATCGCCAGCATTAAGGAATACATTCTGGAGGGTGGATCAGAGGGGGACAGGTTATCTGAAGAATTGTCTAAGCTTGACATTCAAAAAAATATATGACGAGTCGTTTGTATTGTTTCAAGAGTCAGCTCATATATATATCCCTTTCTTCTGGAAAACAAACAATAAAACCTCTTAACCAACGTTTTCACCTTTTCAGGCCTTCATTTTACTGGCGAATTCTGGACCCATCTAGTCACTGAGGAGACTGCAACCACAGCGATGCCTCCAGGGTGCAACTCTGCTGAGGATGCGTGTAGTTAGAGCCCCTCTCAAGCAGGGTACCTAAGGTCCGCCCCAAGGCAGTCGCAGGGCTGATAAACAGGGTGGAAGGAAAGGGTCCCAGCTTCTTTCCACTCACTGGCATTTCATCGGGCACTGCCATCCCGTGCTCGGCGGGAGCACCCTGCAGAAGCTGAGACACCCGGCGGCCGAAGCCCCGGCCCCGCCTCCCCGCCCTCCCGCCCCCGCCGCAACGGTCCAGGCACGCAGGCGCGTTGGCGCGCGCAGGGCGGAGCGCGGGGGCGGAGCATGCGCGGGCTCACTTAAACAGGGGCGGAGGGGGCGGTGCTGCTAGCCAGTCTGTGCGAGTCTTCGCAACTGACTCCTCGTGGTGCGATCCTCGAGCCTCGCGCTTCCCGTGGTGGCGGCGGCGGCGACCGGAGGGAGCGGAGGCGAGAGGGTGGCGGGCTCCATGGAGAGCGGCGGACGCCCGAGCAGAGGCGGCGCTTCCTCCCCGGCACCCTAGCTCCAGTGACCGGCGCTCGCGCCCGTCCCCGCGTCGGAGCGGCCGCCGGCTCCGGACTGACCGGCCTCGCTGCCCGTCCCCGCGCCGCCGCCTCGCCTCCCGACACCCCTGCGCCCGACTTGCCCCCACTCCCCGGCGGGGTGGCGGCGGCCGGGCCACCGCAGCGGCGTCTGGAGCAGCCGCGGCAGCAAGAACCCGCCTCTATGATGAAGTTCAAGCCCAACCAGACGCGGACCTATGACCGCGAGGGCTTCAAGAAGCGGGCGGCGTGCCTGTGCTTCCGGAGCGAGCAGGAGGACGAGGTGAGGGAGGCCGGCGCGCACGGCCCTCCGCGGGGCGCCGGGGCGCGTAGGGGGTGCTGGCCCCGGCCCTTCCCTGCCCCGCCCGACCCTCCGTCTGATGGCCCGGCTGGGAGGGATTAGCCCCCTCCTCCCTCCTTCCTTCCTTTCTTTCTCCGGGTTGATAGAAGAGACAAAGGGGCTCGCCCAGCCTACCGTTCTCCCTCTGGGACGTGGGGAGGACCGGAGGCCGCGACACCTCCTGGCCCCCGGGAAGGCTCCTGCCGTGTAGGTCGCGCCAGTCACCATCTTAACGTGCGAACTGAGCGTGAAGCCAGATAAATCTTGAGTGTTAATGGAGGGAGTAGAAATGGCGTGAGGGCTGCAGCTCTGGCCCTTCTGCCTCTCACATTCTCCTTCTGTATCACAACAGTTTGCGGTTCCGTATTAAATCAAGGCTGGGTTGGGGATCAGCCAGACAGCCCCCGTGCTTTAAAATAAAATCCCATTCGGTCTCGTTCTGTTGGTCCCACTTTTCAGTGGCTCGTTGAACTCATGCGCACTTGTCATAATTATACTTGAATTTTTACTTTTTTTTTTTTTTCAAGTTTTTTGATGGTAGAAAAATGGTTAGTGAAACATGTGGAATAACGCCGGAAGAGAGGTGAACTAGAGGTGGGCAAAGTTGCCGTTGCCAGACGGTGATCTCTGGCTCTCCGCATATTTATCAAAGCTTCTTTACTTTGCTGTGTTTGGTTTGACATCTGGAGAGGGGCTGCCGTGTTCTAAGAGAAGGCAAGCTGTAATTTACCCGACTGCATTGGATTGATAGAGGCCCGTGAGGTTTCTCTGGAGAGCAGTTTTTACTTATTTCAATTATATCTACTTAATTTAAAAATGGCTCACTTTTAATTTGCTTAGGGCAATAATAGTTGATTGGTAGCCAATGAAACTCTTTTGGCATTGCCACTCCTAAAATGATTTAGACAGGGGGGACAAAAACATTCTTAGTTCTGCTTCCATAACCAACTGTGTATAATAAAATACCAGGCTAGAGCTGGAGATGGGAATTTAATGGCTTCCTTATTGCTAGTTCCTGTAGTTAACGCTGAGTATGACAGTGTACGCTCAGTTCCTAGCATGCTAACAAAAATCAAAATGCTTCAAAATGGTGCACTTCCAACTTTTTTTTTTCTTCCAAGAAACCAAGCTTTTTAGTGATGATCGATGCTCACTTGGAGGTCTTTAAGTGTGAAACCTACATTTTCAGAAGAAATTGGTCTGTATCTCTTATCTAGGCCCACATAGGAGGCTGGAAAGTAGAAGGGGAAAGGTGTTAAACATTTACAAAGTAACAAAGTCAACAAGCATGAAATGCATTAAAAAATAATAAATTAAAAAAGATTAGAAGGCCCACATGAGGACAAAGCATAGTAGCCCAAAGTGATCAATATAGGTGAGAGATCTTATCTGTCACACTCACTATAGTATAGTCACATTTTTAGTTGAGTGCTTACATGTGAGGGCCTGAAGACCTTTCACTTTGTTACATTTAATCCTTTTAGTGCTGGTTTAGGTAAGGAGACAGTTGCAGAGCATAAGTACTGACATAATGATATAATTAAGAAATGGTAGAGTCTCTCTCTGGTCCCTGCTCCTGATGCTGGGCTGTTGGCACAGAGCCCAGCCCATAGCAATTGGGTGCACACTATTTGCTGAATGAGTGAGATTTTGTGAGGCTGAGCTTGGAGGCCTTTCTGAAAGTAGTGACTTTGAAGTGTTGCCATAACGTGAACTTGGAATCCAGGCTTTGTAAAACACAAGCTCCCAGGGGAAAGTATGGGAAATGGGAGGAAATTGAAATGGCCTGTATTGTGTGAATGATAAAGCAAAGTCTGAGAACTTCAGAAATTGCTTTTGCAGATAAATGAGTTCTTTTCGTGCTGGGAAATTATTTCTACTGTAATCACACAACATGCTAAATGACTAGCCTCTAGTTGAGTCAAGAGACTAGTGCCATTAGATAAAATGAAGTAAGGAGCAGGGTTTGGAGACTTTGTTAGATAAATCCATTACATAAAACTTTGTAAACCTGGTAATCTCCGAATTGAGAAACCAAATGAATCAGTTTGTTAGAGAATATGCTCTGAAGGAAGGCTCTGAATTCTCTGAAATGCTCGGCCACTTTTAATGTTTGGTTTAGCACTTCAGGATCATCTTCATTTCTGTAGTTGGGTATAGTTGGAGGCTTCTCCCATTATACAATAATTATAGAATGAACCCTATTAGTTAGCTTTCCTGGACATTTTGGTGTTTTGCTATGAAATTTTCCCGTTCGGTTGAAATGACATTGCTAGCTTGCTTTCCAAGGGTAGGATACAAACCAGCCTGAACCCACCTCTCTGTAATTAACAGGTGAGATTTCATTTCCCCCTACTGGGTTAACAGCACTTAGATCCTGATTAGATTTGAGTATATGCTTTATTTTAGAATGAAATGTTCATAGAATGTAAGTTAAAATAAAGTAGTGATTGCTGTTTGACCCCTATGTAGTGCAGTGACCTGGCTGGCCCTGTACTGAAGGGAGTCCTCAGTAGCCCTTACTTTTTTTTTTCCCCCAGCTCGCTCCCCCCCACCCTTACTTTTGAACAGGTTGTAGGGAAGAAGGTTGTTGTGACAAAAAGTCTATATTATTTTAGAGTGGGTTTATATATTTTCCGATTTTAGGTTTTTCTGCTGTATGAGCTAAGTAATAAGCATTAGCATTTGTTTAGGAAGACATTGGGCAGCAGAAATAACTTATCAAGGTCACAGAAGCTGGCAGATCATTTTGAGCCCAGGTTCTTTTCTTCTAAATCTAAGTTCATTTGATTATCCTCTCTTCAGCTAGTTACTTCTGTGTGGAAACACCCTAAGTTTTGGCAGTTGGGGTTCTGGACAAGCCCACAATTGCATGTCCCATACAGTAGCTGGGATACTATGCTTGTGCAATGAAAGGGCATGCATTCACAAAATGTAAAAATGCATTCCTTTGAACATATTTACGTATTTGATAGTTTTAACAGGGCAAACATGAAAAGTGTCAGCTCCTAAGGAACATATTCTGAAGCAGGAGGTTAGATAAATGACTGATTAAAGGGAAAAGTAAGGTGAAGGTGCCATCGGCTGCTCCAGGGTTAAGATACAGTGTGAGTCATTTGGAGTTGGATTTCAGTGAGTGGGTAAGGGAGAACCAAGCATCTCAGAGCAAGACTTGGTTATTGCTCTGGTCTGGTTGGGCTGCAGTTTAGGTCAGCATAGGACAAATAATAGTTGAAAAACAGAGCACCTTAAGTCTAAGCCTGAAGATTTTCTAGGCAAGAAAGGAACTTTTAGTTTCAAACAAGTAACATTTAGATTTTAGATGTATTAAAGTTTGAGAATGATCTGGCAGCAAAATAGGATAAAGTGCTAAAGGGAGGATTAGAAATGACTTGATCCTGGCACAGTTGAGAGTGAGAAAATGTCTGAGTTCTATAAAATCATGCACTGAAACTAAGGCTTATGGGAAAAGTAGTCTCAAAGCCCATGGAACTCTAAAGCCAGAGCTCTAATAAAAATCATTCCAATAAGAAATAGTAGTACAGCCCTGGCCAGTGTGGCTTCGATGGCTGGGTGTCCTCCCATGCACGGAGAGGTTGATGGTTCAGTTCCGGTCAGAGCACTTGCCTGGATTGTGGGCTTGATCCTTAGTAGGGGTGTGCAGGAGGCAGCCAATTGATGTTTTCCTCTCACATCGATGTGTTCTCTCTCTCTACCTCTCCCTTCCTTGCTCTCTAAAAAAATCGATTTAAAAGGAATATTTTTTAAAAGTGCCATTAAATCTCTACTAGCATTTTTACACGTAGAATCATCAGGTAGTCCACCTTTTCAGACGTATATTCTGGGGCTCATACTTCCTCAGAGATCTAAATCCTTGAAGATAACCTGGTTCAAATGGAGACCACTTTCATCAAAATGAAATAAATATCCAAAGGTAGCCTCTTCTAAACAAAGGCAAATGTCACACACAACCAGACCTCCCAAACCTAAAGAAGGATGTCTTAGGCCACTCAACCATGCACTTCAAGGGAAGGTACTTCTGTAGAATTTACGTGTTTCTTTTTCTTAGGATCTTGGTATATCATCAAGGCTTAATAATAGCAGTGGGTGGCTGATAAGTGGATATAATAACCATTGTTGTAACCTGTGAACTTTTAAAATGTCTGTGTTCTTAGTGGGTGTTTCTAATATGCTGCTGGCCTGATTTTGGCTAAATGCCTTTGAAATAGCTAAACTGTGGTAGTTTATGCGATCCTACTTTATGATAATGGGGGAAGAAAAAACAAGCACCTCAAAACAGCTTCAAAATACTACAATTCAGAAAATGAAACTCTTCATTCTTAGATTTAGGGACTACTTGAGGTTCTCTGGATAGCTTTGTTTTTACTGGGAAAGAAGTGGTCATCTCTAGAGGCAGGCCTTGGTCAGGGCAGTTTTAAGGGTAAAAAGTGAAACACAAAGGGCAATTTGGGGCCACTGGCTGTAGGGGGCTAACTATACCATGTACCTCCAGCCTCTGAAGGTATAACTGAATTGAAGAGAATTTAAACAGCATTTTTGGTTTATATGCTCTTATATTTCCCCAGTGAGAAGAATTTGTTGGGCAGTGTAGGGTATAGAATCTATAATATCAATCATTTTAATTCACAGACTGAGGACTATTTCCAAGCTGAACACTATCACTACTTAAAATGAGAAATATTTCTATTTCAGATGTTTAAAACCTTAGTATCTAAGAAAAAGACAAGTGCGAGAAATGACTTTTCAAGTGCCAGGTAAATGGTGTTTTATTCTGATAATCATCCAATATATGGAAAGAGGGGTAAGGTCCGTTAGTAGAGTAGAAGGAATACTTATATGAAGGGTGGTCAGGTTGGGTCGAAGAAGAAAAATATCTTCACTTTTCAGCACTCGAACAGCATTGGCTTTGGAGTTTGAGTGTGAGTCAAATCTAATTCTGCAGTCTGGTGGGTTAACTAGCCTCCTCTTTATAAATCTTTTCTTTGGTCTCAGCTCTGGCTTATTCAGAACATTGAATGCCTACTTTCATCTCTTGTCTTGTCACTAAAGTCATCTTTTTGTATATATAAAGTCTAATGTACCCAGAAAGGTAGTTGGAAAGGAATTTAAAATCTATGTATGACCATGTATGGTTTTGTTAACTGTTGGTGTGTCCTTACTGAATACGCTTTTATAGCCTTTGTTACTTCAGTAATACTGTTTTCATAGCATTAAGTTAGCATGCTGGCACTATATTATAGATCCTAGTAGACTGAGGATGTTCTAAAAATGTTTAGATGGCTTTGGGGGAGAGACTATTGAATAATAACACTTTGGGTTGTGGTTTTATATAGGCTTAGGTTCTTCCAGTATGTTGGAAGGGTTTTAATTGCCCTTGTCTCTGCTTACACTACTCAGAATCATTTCTTCTGCCCCAGCAGACCTATGCCATAGCTTTGTCTACTCTTGTCTATGAAGTCTATCCCTCAGTTCTTGCTCTTTCATTACCACCCTCCCCTGCCGTCTGTTCCACACATAAATGTGGCCATGACCTCATCTGAACTTCGAATGAAGTACTGAAGATAAGTAGGCAAGTACTTAATGAAACATGCTGGTTTTCAAATCTCTACCATCACCAAAGTCTAATCAAATCGCTTAAGCTTATAGTTCAGACATTGCTCATTTCTGTACACAGGTATTAATTACTTATTTAAATTGATCATTTTTTGGCTCTGGCTGGTTTGGCTCAGCGGTTAGAGCATTGGACCGGGGACCTGGGAGTGCTGGGTTCAATTCCCGCTAAGGACATGTACCTTGGTTGCATTTCGTCCCCTGCCCCGGTTGGGGTTGTGTGGGTGGCAACCAGTCAGTGTGTCTCTCTCACATCGATGTTCCTCCCTCCCTCCCTCTCTGTCTGAAGATAAATGAAAAAAATAAATTTATCATTTTTTGGAAAGATGCATTTCAAGTTAATGGTTTGATCCAACTTAATCATTTAGAATGTCAAAACACATTAGGTTCTTGGTTTCAGTTAAATCATTTGTTGGATCTGTTTTCTTGAATGCTTTCTAAATAGTAATTATGAAGGGAGATGTTGAACCATGCAGGGGTTCCATGTCACTGACTTTGCAAGAAAAGTTTAGTCATATGTTAATGAAGTCCTGCAGATAAAGATTCAGTATTAAATTGGAAGCCTGAGTGTCAGTTTCAGGAAAGCAGAAGCAGACTATACTAATGGGTTTTACAACATTATTAACCTTACATAATTTAGCTCTTATCTTGGACAAATGGGAATATAACAGTCATTGACCTAGATACATGACACTGAATTTTATTTTTCAGGACTCAAACATTATGAATATGTATAGTTTTGAACCTGCCTAGTTACTCACTGAAGATGTACTTTTCTGGTGGCTAGCCACCTGCACCATTCTGTCCCATTATGAAGGTAATCAAGGAGGTTGTTTAGCGAGCATAGAATTGTGTAGTAAGAATTTCATCTGGGCAGTAGAAACCAGATTATCCCTAACCCACACCTAGTGACCACGAATAGAGTCCTCCAACTCTGCAGTCAGGACCAGTAATTACCATTTACTTTTCCCTTGTTGCAAGATACGACGTTTGTGTACCTTAAGCATTTTTGTTTTAACTTAAAAGTGTACATTCATTTGCCAGCCTTGATATAGGGCCAAAGCTTTTGAATGCCATAGATTCTTGCTAGATTTGCTTATTCTGGCTCTTGAGTTTCCAATTTTGATATGTAAGCCCTATTTACTAATACTTAAGAAAGCTTAAATTTAAGACCTTACATTTTATTTCACCCAGACTGCTGTATTTGGACTTGGTGGTACCTTCGCATCAGCCCTTAGTACTTTACCTAAGGCTTTGTCAACCATTGTGTTAATTTACAGTACTCTCTGGATTTGCCACTGTTCCGTCAATTAGTTACTTGAAAGAATGATGCTGGTGGGAGCAGTAGAGTCCTATCCAGATCAAGAATGAGAGAAACAATGTTCAGGCCCCTTGAGCATTAATTGATCATTGTTCTGTGGTGATGGTGTGTCCATAGGCAAAGCTGTCTGCTTTTTTCAAGTTGAGGTTATGTGCCTGAATAGGTATTAGCATACCTTCTACTTCAACATTTTAGAGGTTTTGAGAGAAAGCTGGGAGTTGCCAAACTGCTGTCAGCCTGGAACTTTCCAGTTGGGGCAGGTTGAGTTCCTGGCAGATTACTCAAGTGGGAGGTGAATCCTGTGCTGTCTGTGAACTCTTCCGACCAGCAGTTCCTCTGGCAGGAGGGATGGAGCTGGGCAGATAGAACTACTGGCATGCATGTCAAAAAGTCAGGACCCGCGGGGGGGGGGGGGGGGGGGGGGGTGTTAGACTTTGCTCTACATTGATTGATTTATCTGGTGAAAACTATTTACTTGAAGGGAATACACCAAGGTAATTCTACAAATATTATTGTTCAGGTTTGATTAAGACATCTGTTATCTTCATAAACGTCATTTGGTTATTTATCAGAGACTTTTTTTTTTTTTTTTTTAACTTGGGTGAATTTTAACCTAACCTAGCCCAGAAATTTTCATTTATAAAATGGATATGTAATACTGGTTTCGGGTACAGTTAAAATAGCCTCTAGGATACTCTGTGATAATAGTTATTTGTGTTTGTATATTTCAAGCGTAATTGTTCTTGATCGAGGTCCGCAGACTTTTCCTGTAAAGGGCCAGATAATATTTTAGGCTTTGCAGGCCATATAATCTCTGTCACTGCTACTCAACTCTAGTTGTAGCACGATAACATTCAGACAATATATAAAAAATGAATGGGTGTGACTGGATTTTCATAAAATTTTACTTATGACTTTAAATTTGAATGTCATATAATTTAAAAATATAAAAACCATTTTTAGCTCACAAACTATGCAAAAATAGAGCTTGACAACCCTTTGCTAAATCATACATTAAAGCTGCCTATTATCAAAATGGAGCAACTTTTGCTAATTTTTATAGGTTAAGATTATGAAAGGGTACCTTAAGTATAAAGATAACAAGAATTCTTTATGTGCCCAGCATTGGCTTTACATGAATTTCCCTATTTCTTTCTCACAACATCTGTTTTCTTTTGAATATTCTTACATTTTATAGATGAAGGAACAGGATGACCTGCCTATGATTACATATCCTTAAATTTGGAAGAATAAGATTCTGTAACTAAGAATAATGGATCTAACCACAAACCTCAGTGCATACAGCTCTGGGGCTAAAAAACTAAGTCGCTGTTTTATCCTTTGTTAATATCTAAGAATTAGAGAGTTTTACCAATTGAATCTGGTAGTTTAAATGATTTAGTTGGGTAAGAATTATTTAGTGATGAGACCATGTTACTGTTGAATTCTGAATTCACAGAGACCGTATTTACAAAGGCTGTATACTATTTTGTGGTATAATGTGTACCCCCAATAATTTTAATGACATTTAAAAGTGGGTTAATCTAGGAGATTTACAGTTATAAAGGAGTGAGAATATTGCTGATATGGATATTGCTGCTTAGGCTGGGACTGTATGGTGACGGTGGGTCTTACAGGTGCTGTTGGTGAGCAGCAGTCGGTACCCAGACCAGTGGATTGTCCCAGGAGGAGGAATGGAGCCTGAGGAGGAGCCTGGTGGTGCTGCTGTGAGGGAGGTTTATGAAGAGGTGAGGTGAACAGTAGTTTGTATTTTCTCTTTTCATACAGACTGTATTTTGAGGCTTCACAGGACAGTCTTCTGGTTCACAAACAAGGCACTTTGTTACATACACTGAGGAGAAGGCAAGAGGGCAGGTCACGTGGGTGATTGTTTTGTTACCTAGTTTAACACTGTTAAGCACATGATTATATCTAGAATTTTGCTAAGCAGATATTTTTTTCTACCTGATAAAATCAACGTGGAACATGGCATTGCACAACAATAATTGATCAGTGATCACTATATATAACATGATGGCCTTGCCCAAAGTAAGATTAGTGTTAACACTGAGCAGAAACATACAGAGATGTTAACCACGTGCTATGAGTTTTCAAATGAATAACAAACAAATTGCTTTTTACTTGTTTTGTCTGAAAGTCCAATAAATGTGGCACACACACATGCACCGAAGCACACAGAACAGCAGTTAGAGTGTAGATGGGAGGGAATGCCAAAGCCCTCCTTGGGCCTTGGTATGTGGTTGGAGACGTTTCATAGAGATAGGTCTTGAGTGGCTTCCTGAGGGAAGAACACATTTGAAATAGAGAAGACAAGCATGTACCAGTCTGTTAGTTCTCAGTATAGATTTGAATGGGGCAGGGGAGCACACTGAAGTGCCAGTCAGCGTTTTACTTGGTAAGCATAGTGAGGACTCTGCAGTAGAAGGGAGCATATAGAAAGAACTGTACCTTCTGAGGTGTGTGGATAAAGGACGATATCGGCCTTTAAGGAAGAAGAGGGAAGATTATTTACCAGTTCACAGAGAAAAGTCTGTTTTCATTCAGGAAGTTTATCCCAGATTTGTAGGAAGTTAATTTTTGGTCAGTCCTTGCCATCTCATAAAAATAAATGACATAAGTCTGATCAACAGGAAGTTGCATGTGTGGAGCAAATAAAGTCATGATATAGCAAAACACAGGGCATGAATCTAAGCACAGCCAAAAAAAAAAGGTCACAGAAGCAGGCTTAATATGGGAGGGCCTCTTGCTTGTGTTTAGATGTAAAGTAATTAAATTAGTCCGAAAGTAATTTTACCAGTTTTGTTATGAAAATAATATTTTTACATTTCATCTTTTATCAATAGGCTGGAGTCAGAGGGAAATTAGGCAGACTCCTGGGCATATTTGAGGTGAGTTACAAAAGTAATCCTTGGGCCCTGGCTTGTGTGGCTCAGTTGGAGTGTCATCCCGTGCACCTAAAGGTGGCAGGTCGTTTCCTGGTCAGGCAATACCCAGATTGTAGGTTCAATCCCTGATTGGGGCGCACGTGTGAGGCAACCAGTCGACGTTTCTCTCTCATGTAGATGTCTCTCTCTCCCAAAAAAAAGTAATCTTTGGTTTGTTGATAAGAGAATTAATCATTCCTTCCTAACCAGCCAGATAATCTGGTAGCACTCTACACTAGACATTCCTCTGAGACTTATCAGTAGGCAACTAAGTCATAAGAATTAGGAGGGAAGGAAGTAAAAAGTAACCTTTCCTGTACCGTCAGTTATATACAGCATTATTACAGTAGTAATTACTTCCACATGAATACAATGGAGTTGAGGGAGAAAGCGTTACCTCTTGGTTCACTAGATACTGTTTAGGTGTAGGCTTTTTAGGAGATACAGTATCCTCAGTAACACCTAAGGGCTTAAGTCTCTTGTGGATACTGTCTGGAAAATGTACCCTTACTTTCAGCAGATAACATTAGATGATATACATAATGACTCCTGAACTGCTTTATGAGGATACAATGCTCAGATACATAGAATAGATACTAAAACCATAGAATTCTTGTCTGTATAATCCCTTATTACTGAATGCAGAATGGAATTTGTGGGGAGGAAATTTGGAAATGGTAGTCTTTGGACGGTAGGGAGAAAAGAGGTCAAGTCACAAGATCCAGGCTATTCTCAAATAAAAATTTACCCAAGATTCAGGCCTAGATACATAGTATACCAGGTACATTTTCAAGATACTGTTTAAAGGTTAGCTTAGTCCTTTTGATAGATCCATATACATTATATTTTTAAGCCTTTTTACAGGAATTCAGAAAAAAATCTGATTGTACAGCACTTGGTAGAATTGATTCCCAGAATAAGAGTCAAGTTTTTAAGATACTGTTCAAACTTGACCGTAATTCAGAACTTGCTTTACCCAGTTAAATAGCACCATCTCCTGGTTAAACTAAAAAACATACTGGAGTTTTCTCTAATTCTGAGTAGCCATGGTATAAATAGCACATTTATCGGTACGCTGACAAGATTTTTAAAGAAAACTTCTCACATTATAAATAAAGCTTACATAACATGGGAAGGTAATAGTTTCAAATGCTTTTACTATTTAATTTTCATAGAGTACAATGTAAATTTTGTAGAATTTGAACAGAAAATGGTAATCAGTGTCACTTTCCCCTTAGAAAATATAAGAGAAAATCAGAATTGCCCTACTCATTCATCCTGGTGATTTCAATGCATTTGTGAACGTAGCATGATAAAGATTGATTTGCCAAGCATAGAGATAAGATGTTTAAGTGAGAGATGCCTCTACTTTATTGCTATTTTTATTCCTTCCCAAAGACAAAGTACACTGTTTGAATGAGTGGATTCCTCAGGTTGTAGAAAAAATGAGGGCAATTATGTATAGTCTTAGACTACACCGAACAAGGCTAACTTTAACAGAGATGAAGGTGAGCCCCCTTTCTTAAGGCCAACTTGTGTTTACTTTTGAACCTAGAAACAAGACTAGGTGGTAGTTTAATACGGGTAAAATTGAGTCTGAATATAAGACTAAAAAGAATGTTCTGCAATTGGATTAACTTGGGCTTTCTCAACCCTGGCTATTCATAGTTCATCTGGAAGCTTTTTAAATATCAATATTTAGGCCTCATCTCAAACTAACTGAAATTGGTGTCTCAAAAAACCATTCACCCGGGTGATGTAATGGGTGACAAAGGTTGAGAAGCCCTAGTCTAGGTTAGTAGGACTGTGGTGTGTGTCTTGGAAACCTCTAAGGGCAATGTTCTGAACTAACTGGGAATACTGTTGTGCAGGTTCTGAGAAAAGCAGTTTTCCATGGTGTTGAAAGGCTTTCAGGATTCGTCCCAGGGAATAGGACCTTAAAAATGACAGAAATGCAGTTCTTCTACAATAGATTCCATTCCAATCTTAAGATTTTCTCTATGACAGTTACGTACCTGATGAACAGAAATCAGAGTGCTAAAAGTTTAGTATTGGGAGTTCATTTCACCATTTTAAATATTTTCTTACATAAACTCACTTCTCTGCTGGATTGTACAAATGATTATACTTACCTATGTTGGCAGATAGGCTAAGCTAATCAGCAGTATGCCACAACTGAATTTTTTCCCTTAAAAGTAAGTATATGACTAGCTCCTGTAGATTAAAATGCTTTCCTTTTTATATTCAAGCAGAACCAAGACCGGAAACACAGAACGTATGTTTATGTTCTTACTGTCACCGAAATATTAGAAGATTGGGAAGATTCTGTTAATATAGGTAAGTTGCCTTTCCTTTTCCTATCAGAATTCTCTTAATTCAAATACTGCATACTTATATCCATTTTTCGACTTAAATTATTTTTGGTTACCTTTCATTCAGAGAAGGGAAGATCAAAATATATTTCCACATTGCCCTGGCCAGTTTGGCTCAGCGGTTAGAGCGTCGGCCCGTGGACCGGAGAGTCCCGGGTTCGGTTCCCGCTAAGGGCACGTACCTCGGTTGCAGTTTGTCCCCGCCCCAGTTGGGGTCCTGTGGATGGCAGCCACTCGATGTGTCTCTCGCACATCGATGTTTCTCTCTCTTCCTCCCTTTTTCCCTCCCGCTCTGAGGATAAATGCAAAAATGGCCTCAGTGAAGATAAAAAAATATATGTATATTTCCACATTTGAGTTCTTTTAAAATTATTTAACATATCATTATCTAAGCCATTCCAAAAAATAGTGATTTGTGAGTAAAGAGTAAGGAGCATTGGTGTCAGAGTATGGCTTACTTTTTAAACTTGACTTTACTGTATAGTGACCGCTGTCATTACTATTTTCTAGGAAGGAAGAGAGAGTGGTTCAAAGTGGAAGACGCCATCAAAGTTCTCCAGTGCCATAAGCCTGTACATGCAGAGTATCTGGAAAAACTAAAGCTGGGTTGTTCTCCGTCCAATGGAAATTCCACAGTCCCTTCAATTCCAGATAACAACACCTTGTTTGTAACTGCTGCACAGACCTCTGGCTTGCCATCCACTATAAGATAGAGAGAATGGGGAGGTCATCTCCCACCATGTGCAATTTCATGGGGAGAGAGGCTTCTTTATTTTCCTTGGCAAACATCTGAATGACGCTTGCAAACTGTCTGAATTTGCCATGCAAGGTTTTCAAACAATTTGCATGTTTTTCAGATGCTTTCAAATATTTTTTTTTAATAGTGTAAAATATTTTAATAAGCCAAAGCCATGTGGAATTTTTTTTAGATGCCTTAATTGTCCCCCCCACCCCAACCCCACCCTCCCGTGTTATTTTGGTTGTCATTTTTTTCAGATTTTTGTCCATTTGATGTCAATCTGTGGTTTCTGTCACATCACCTTACTGGTGGGTATGTTTCACACCCCCTAAATTGTTTTCTCATTCACAGCATTGTGGGAATTTAAAAAACAATTCTTGATATTAAAGAAAAACTTGTTTCATAGGATCACAATTTTAATTCATAAATTCCACATTTGGGCTATTTATATATGGTGCAATAATATTTTGACCAAGGACCTAATTTGCTATTTTCAGGAACTTGTCAACTCATTCACCTCCATTTTCATAGCTGGTGTCATGTCACTGGCATAATTCCCGTTCCTCAGTAACCAAACCTTTAACACAAAATTTTAACTCAGCAGAGTTGGCAGTTTTTAGGGAGGTGTTATTGTAAGCAGACTGCGTGTAGCAAATACACTATCTTATCATGAAATTTGCATTCATGGAACTTAAGCAGCACCCACAGTTGCCAATTCCCTTTATTCATAATCTCTCTTTACACCCAATACCTGAGAACCAAGTTTCCCTCAATATATATTGCTTTTTAAAAATATATTTTCAGTTTTGGAATTTAGTGACATCTCTCCAGTTAAACTTGTTGGTTACCAATAACCACACCTAGGATTGGAGTCTAACCTCAAATGCCAGTCAGTGATGACTGCTTCTCAGATAAAATGGCCTTCTTGCTGTTCAGCTGTTACAGACTTAGATTGTTAGGGCACCTTTAGAAGGCCTCATCTTTTATAGATTGTCAATAGGTACTATTTATCATATAACTAACTTTTTGGGGCACTGAAACATACCTGAACTAATATTTTGTCTTATACTTGTCTTTAATATCTAAAATACATAAGTACCTTGTCTGAAACTCCTGTACTTCCCCAAACAGGCCAGAAATGAGGTAGGAGGGAAAACCTTTGAATATATGTGGAATAGGGGATGAGGGCAAGGACATTCTGTATGTAGACATTAGCCTTTTGTAAATACTGTAACTGGTGAGTGTAAAGTAGAAAATAAGTATAGTTATACATTTGTTCTACAAATTGTTAACCTTTAAAAATAAAATTGCTGCTAAAAATAGAGTGCTGTTACACTTGAGGAAAATCGGTGCCACTTTAAAAAATGAGATCTTGTGCCATAAATGCATCTGAACTAGATGTAAACGTTAGTTCACAAATTAATGCTGTCGAAGGAATGAGTAAACAATGACATTTCATTCTAAATTATGTAGTGTGATCAAACGCGATAACCAGAATTTTTATAGTTTTCTTTGTACAGAGGTTATATATTCTGGGTGTTTAAAAACATTTTAAATTCCACAGATTGACACTTTCTATCAATCTTCAATGGACTAAGATTTTTGTTCTCAGTAATCTCTGAAGTTTCTTTAAATTACATATTAACACAGCAGAGAAACTAGATTGTTCTTGTATATAAGACTGTGTCCACCTGAAATGCTGTCACAGTACTTGGGGGGTGGGTATCTTGTACATGACATTCTTAGGAGTTAACAATGCATGAACTTATTTTATAAACTCTTAGACTATGTATTTGACCTGTAAAATATGTACAGTATTAATGTCAGCCATCTCTTTAAAGTGAGCCTATAAATATTGTTGTATAATTTTCTTTGGTCAGAAACATTTGGATGAAGTAGTGCCACTCGAGTAAGGATTTCTTCAGTGCCATTTAGCAAACCAACTGTCTTTAGTCTATGCAACTAACAGAAATTTGTATAATGCAACAGGATATTGACAGTGGTCACACTTTGGATTTCAAACGAGGGGCTGGCTGGCTCTTCACTATTCTACTGGAACCCAGCCTAGCAAATTAGAAGAGCCCTAAGGATTTATTTCTGTTCAGAGAAAAAGCCTACATTTTCAGGCTCAGCAGCTGAATCTACTACAGATAACAAGTGTCTACTGTCTCAACCCTCCAAAGAGTAGAGTGTTGGGACTGTCATTGTGCTTTCTGTGGGGTCGTTGGATAAAATTGGACAGCTCAAGTTTTCAGTCCCATGTGCCTCCTAAATAACAAGTTTGTAAATTGACTTACAAAGTAGCAACTATCCTGCATGTTGGTTTTTCTGTTTTTGTTTTTGTTTTGTAAATGGGTGAAATTTTCCAACCCGACACATGCCATTCAGTTTTCCAGTGACACAGTTGTATAAAGCAGCAAAACTGAAGGGGGGTGATTGTTGTATACACTTGAATTGCTTTGCATGGTCTCATTGAGATAATGGTGTAAGAATCTTGACTTTTTTTATATTTGGAAACATCAAATAAAAATGGAAATAAATTATCTTTTTTGTTGTTGTTGTTAAACAATACCACCTAAGTGAAAACGTGTCTGGTGTTCCTCAGTAACATGACTCTTTATATGTTATCTCAGTAGTAGTACATTTATACACTTCCCATTTATGATCATCACTAGTGGAATTAACTGGTTACCAAAAAGATGTTGCCATTATTCTCCCAAAGGACATTTTCCATCTTGAGATAGTAGTCTAACGGTGCACAGCTGTGGATGTCTTATGTAGCACTGACTGCTCCCCTGCCCCAACGGGGTTTTAGTAGTATTTCAATAATTTTCAAGAGGTAACTGGTTACAGGTACCCTGCCTGCCATAATCTTTCCCCAAAATAGTTTACCCAAGACCAACTTAGAATCCTAACATAAAAGTTCTACTCAAATCTCATTTAAATTGTAGGAAGAGAAAGCTCAGCATTTTCCAGTATTGTTTTCACATTGAAATACAAGAATTCTCTACAGGTCTCTTAAAGAATTTGTAGAAGTAAGTGACAGGCCTAAACACTAGTTGAGAAGTATTTTTAATGAATTGGTTATAACTGGAAGGTTTCTGTGTAGTTGATTTTGAAAGTTTCCAACCAACATTGTTTCATAAAATCTTAATACAGTGTTTATTAGTAGCTGTACAATGAGCATTTGCCTTATGCCTGGCGTTGATACTATAGCACACAAGTTTCTGCCCCCAAGGAACTTACATTTAGTGGAGGATTTAGCTAGGTGTTATTTACACATCAGAAGTTCCTAAAATGTCTTTCAAGCTTTTTTGGCTTACATGCACCATCTTCAAAGGCAAAGTTTTTGAAAATATTATCCGCCAACAAATACTTAGGGATATTTTATATGGAGCTGGAGAGCAAAAATCAGGCTGAACAGGAGTTCGCCCTGGTGCTACTTTTCTCGCTTTCAGTACCTCCCTGAGTGCCACTGGCTAAATTCTCGGATTTAGATAGAAGGCTCTAAGGCCTATCTTACCAAATTTACTCAAAGGCTCCAAGTCTTTTTCTGCCAGAAACTAGTCTTAAATTCCTCTATTTGATGTAATTTCAACTAGTTATCACAAAAGTTACTCTTCTCAATATGTGGATTATTACCCTCTAGACATCATGTCTCCTGGTTCTTATTAACCAGTGCCAGGCACATGCAGATAAAAGTACTGTGAATCTTATTAATTTTCTCAAGTTTTACGCAAACTGACTCAATCAAATTAGTGAAATAAAAAGAATGTGTCGCCCAGGCCAGTCTGGCTCAGCAGTTAGAGCGTCGGCCCATGGACTGGAGAGTCCCGGGTTCGTTTCTCGCTAAGGGCACGTACCTTTGTTGCAGTTTGTCCCTGGCCCCAGTTGGGGTCATGTGGGTAGCAACCGGTCGATATTTCTCTCTTCCTCCCTCCCTCCCTCCATCTGAAGATAAATGCAAAAATGTCCTCAGATGAGGATAAAAAAAAAAAAAGTTTGGCTATTAATGTGTATCAAGAAACTTAAACATACCTTTTGATGAAGTAACTACACCAGAATCTCCAGGAATGTGGACAGAGAATTATAAGGCAACTAAAATGGTAAGGCATGAAAGTAAAATGCCGGGGCCTACAGGGTAAGGGTTAACTAGCAATATGTCTATATAATGAACTGTTATAGACAAGATAGAACCCTTTCACCCAACAATTCCATTTCTGGAAGATACTTCAAGATGCACGATAAAAATGTGGTCTAAGCCCTGGCCGGTTTGGCTCAGCGGTTAGAGCGTCGGCCTGCAGTCCAGAGAGACCGGGTTCGGTTCCCGCTAAGGGCATGTACCTCGGTTGCAGTTTGTCCCCGGCCCTGGTTGATTGTGCGAGTGGCAGCCACTCGATGTGACCCTTTCACATCGATGTTTCTCTCTCTCCCTCCCACTCTATCTGAACAAAAAATGGAAAAATGTCCTCGGGTGAGGATAAAAAAAAATGTGGTCTAAGATGTGTATTACAGGATTTAGAAAACGCATCAATTTGAATTACAAATTGGGGGGGGAGGGTTAAATTATGGTCGTCTAGTCAACAGATATCACTACCAAAGAATTACACTGCCACAGGTGGGGGTCCTTTCAATAAACGACTTAACGTAGAACAGCTGTAGCTGGTTGGATTTAGCGGAGCATGGGCCTGAGGACCAAGGGGTCTCAGATTTAGATTCCTAGTCAAGGGCATGTAACTGAATTGTGGGTTTGATAACGGGCCCCCGGGGGGGGGGGGGGTCATGTGGGAGGCAACTAATTGATGTCTCTCTCCCTTCCACTCTATCTAAAAATCAATGAAAAATATCCTCTGATGAGGATTAACGACAACACTACACAGCACTCATTACCATTTAAAGCTCACTTTTTAAAAAGAAGCCATACATATTTCAGATTTTCTTTTAAAACCTGTATAATTTTAATATAAAACATTCTGAGAATGTTCAATGTATATATAAACAAACATCAAAGGGGAAACAAGAAACTTGTACAAATGTTTCCTCTAATTATTACTGGAGTAACAGTAACATATCAGTTCTTAAAAGGGTGAAGTATTGACACATTTCCTTTTAACACTAATTTACAGCAGTGAATTACCAATCACTGACAAGGGGAAGGAAGCTGGACCTACAGGCCAAACCTAGCCCCAACCTGTCTACAGCCCAGAAGCTTAGAATGTTTTTTACATTTAGTGATTAAAAAAATACTTCGTGACAGGTGAAAATTAGTTTTATCAGAGCACAGAAGCCTATTCTTTAAAATAGTCTATGGATGCTTTTTCACTACAATGGAAGAATTGAATAATTTACTAGAGACAGACCCATGGCCTGCAAAGTCCTAAACAGTTTTAGAAGGAAAAAAATGGATTGCAAGAATGTGGCCCTCGGTTATCCAGTCCTAATGTTTCCTGCCAAAACTGAAGGAAAACAGCACAAGTTTAAATCTAGTGCAACCAACCTATTATGTCTAAGCTGCTTTTGACTGGTCTAAGTCTAAAGTAGTCTACCATTGAATGTAACCCAGAATACTTTGGGTTTTTTTTAATCTTCACCCAGGGATATTTTTCCATTTATCTTTAGACAGATTAGGAGAGGGAGAGAGACAGAGAGAAACATTAATGCGAGAGGGACACATCGACTGGTTGCCACCCACGTGACCCCGACCAGAGCCAGGGATGAACGGCAACCGAGATACATGTCCTTGGCCAAAATCTAACCCAGGTCTCATCGGTCCGCGGGCCAATGCTCTAACCACTTAGCAAACCGGCCAGGGCAACCCAGAATACTTTGTAAACTTGCTAGGTTAGGGTATAATGACATTTAAGATATTGGCATTTACTAATCTAGATAATGGAAAGAATGGATCAGGAATGTGTAAAATGTAAATATAATACTTATTCTACATGGCAGGAACATGAGGTTAGTAATCTAAATTTCTAAAACCTGTTTTGTCCCATAGATACAAGTGATTAGCAGAGGAAAAATGTTAAAGCTCCTTAACACCATAAAATGTACTTTGACAAGATAATAGGATTTCAGTTGTTGCTCTGTCAATGGAAGGCAATGCGCAAGGTCTAAATATTCAGGCGATTACACTATGCTTCAACCAGAAACTGAATTACATCAAGTCAGTAGAGACTGCTTGCTACAAGTCTACATTTACACACTTGAAGTGTCACAGGCCCATATGAAATGAGATCAGCTGAAGGGTAGCAAAGGTGAAATTGGAGGCAGAAGGGAGGACCCAAACTCTTCATGTTGAGCTCTACACTTAACAGGAAAAATGTCAGTCCAACTCCCAATTTTGCAGCCAATGGGAACTTGCCCGATTTATAACAGCTGCAGTAAAGCCAACTCTTGGAACCAATCCTCCCAAATTTCAACCTCAGTGATAAAATGGAAATTAATGCAGAGTGATACAGTTAAGAAAACAAAGTATCACCAGTCTTGGTGGTAGATTACAGATTTCTATTCTTTATATTTCTTTCAATTCATTACATTCAACATGTTTTGCTTTTGTGAACAAGTCATTTAAAAAATAAACCCTATTTAATTCCTAAATTAGCAGCATGCTAAATAGCTAAAGGAAATGTTGCCCCTGGTCCCAAAATACATTATTTTAATGAAATATTACATTTTCTTTAATAGACTGACAGATTTAGCTGCTGTGTAAATCATGGCATTCTTATGGGGATGGGGATGGCAGCTTTTCTAGACAAGGCTATATTTTAAAACTTTTTGCTAATGCAATAAAAATTGATGTGGCTACAGTACCCCAAAGATTCCTGGGCCATGAAATAAAGAAAAGAGGTGAATACCTATCATTCCCATGACACTGTTTAGTTCCATTTAGCTAAAATTGTGTCACAATATCTGTAAAATACCAGATTTCCTTCCCACTACACTCTCCTTAAAGAGTGCTAAACACAGCACCTGCGCTTTTGGTATTGATTTGTAGTTAATCTTATTTTTAAACACTTCTAAAATGTCTGGGTTTAAGTTCTACATACTTCAGATAAAAACCTTATCAGGCTGCCTCTGAGAGAACTACTGTGGAAGCAAATCACAGCAAAGGAGACAACAACAAAACTTAAAAATCAAATAACACGAAGCTTTATCAATACCTCAGGGTTTGGGCAGAGATGACTCTCAAGAAGCACTTATCAATATATGCAGATTCTTCTTGCTCCCAGGGCTTTGCATATGCTGAGCAGCCCTCCCAAGTCCATACTTCCCTTCTCTAAGGAGGAGCTACTGCTGCTCATCCACGCCCCTCCCTAATCAGATTAGAAAATTCCGTGAGGGAAAGAAAGCCTCATGCCAGTCTTATTCATCTAATCATCCCCAACAAGTAGTATGGTCTTGAGCACACTTACATTTGTCAAATAAATTAACTGTTTCTTTAAGCTTGGGAGCTACAAAGTCAAAGGCTTACAATGGAACAGGACTACATAAAGGAGCAGGTGCATGGGGGGGGGGGGGGGTACGGGACTCTACCCAACTGGAGA